CCCGCCTCGGCCTCCCAGAGTGCTAGGATTACAGGCGTGAGCCACCGCGCCTGGCCTCATTTGTTTCTGTTTTAAGAACTTCCTTCAACCATTATTTTAGGGTAGGTCTGCTGGTGACAAATTCTCTTCCTGTCCCTTCACTTGATAATGTCTTATTTCCCCATCATTCCTAAAGACTAATTTCACCAGATATAGAATTCAGGGTGTGATAGGTTCTTTTCTTTCAGCACTTAAACAATGTTATGCCACATCCTTCTGACCTTTATGATTTCCAATGAGACATTTAGTGTCATTTGAATTGTTTTTTCCCCAAAATAAGAGTCAATTCTCTCTTGCTGTTTTCAAATTCTTTTGTCTTTGTTTTTCAGAAGTTTGATTACAATGTGTCTTGACATGGATTTCTTTGGGTTTATCCTTTCTGAGGTTTGCTTGGTTTCTTAAATCTGTAGATTTATATCTTTTGCCGAATTATGAATATTTTAAGCCATTATTTCAGTTTCCTGGGAGGGCTTTAGGGATGAAAGAACTATAGCCCAGACAATGGGAGATCGGGGGGACCAGGGGAGAACAGGGGTCTGGGGTCCAGCCAAGCTCCTATGTACTCTGTGTTCTCAACCCCTTCATCATTTCCTTTTAAAGTATATTCGTAGAGAAAAAGTGAGTTGATTAAAGAAGTATTAAATAAAAATAATATAACTGTTATGCAGATATGGCAAAAATCATGAATGGTACATGAAAGAAGTCTGGGAAACACTGCTTTCTGTGATGCTGCAGATGGTGGTTAGCCTTACTGTGAACCCGTCTAGGAAGAGAAAACCAAAATATCACATATGGTGATACGGTCCCAGCTCTCTGAAAGTTTGCTGTATTCTGAGCTAAAAATCTGCTTTCCTACAACCACCTCCTGATCCAGATTCTGTGCTTTGGAATAATACCAATCCCCTTTTCCACATGTAAGCCTTTCCAGTGTCTAAAGAGCATTAGCAAAAAACCTATTCAGGTGGGTTCACCTGCTATTAATATATCACGACTGCTGTTCACATGACATGGGTTATAAACACTGCAGTGTCCTCGAAAAGCCTAAGCCCAACACTTTCCAGTCTCTTATCTACTTAAAAATCTTTCCCTCTCTAATCTTACCCATCCCTCAAGGCTCACGGCAAAGGCCATCTTACTTGTGAAACCCTGTTCTGGTTTTTCTAACCAAATGTGACTCAAAGTGAAAAACATTTCTGACTATTTGGGGAGGAGGGGGTAGTTGTGTGAATTTACCACACCGAAAATGGAGCATCGCAGTTGAGGAACACAGATGTCTGAGAATTGTTTCTGAAGTCACACACCACTGCCAAATCTACTCCACTCAGGGTGGGAATGCAGTCGAGTGACACGGCTGTGCCCGGGGTCCCTGGGAGCCGGATGTCTGTGCTCATGGCTAGGCCCCACCTCCCACCTGGGGCACAGTAGGCATGTCACCTGGCCTCTCTAAGCCATCACAGTTCTTGGCTGTAAAAAGATGATAACTAATTTAGGTAGAAAAGGAGTTTGTTAGGAGATTGGATGACGGGAAGACTAGAGAGCCACACTCAGAACGTGGTAGGTGCCAAGGGATGACAGGTAGCAGAGACTACAGAGAGTCCACGGCCACGGGAGCAGTCAGGTTGGGACACTGCTGCTGCCACCACGCACCTGGTCTCTGGATACTGCCCCCAACAAGCCCCACAAGATTCCCGCAGTGGTGACTCTCCCAGGACAGGCTGGTCACACCCCAAATTGGTAATTCTGTGGACAACCCCATGTCCTCAGGCTGGGCCTTCAAAGTGCTTATCAATTTCCCTTCCTCTCCCTCTACACTCACCAGTGGCCTAGAGAAGTTTGGAGATAGCAACTAGCACATTACACAAAGTCCTATGGAAAAAACACATGAGAACTATCCTCTGGTTATCTTTTAAATGTAGAGAAGTTACAGGAAAATGTTCCACCTGGGTTTTCTCATGTTGGATGTGCCACATAGGTGCCCAGGCCTGACTCATCACAGCACAAACAGTGCCAAGAGGCCACAGTCCTCATACCAGGCAAAGTCTGGCCTCATAGGGCTATTTTTATATTGGGGTCAATAATAAATGATTGATAGAAGTGAGATATGGGCAGATGAGGTAGCTCATGCCTATAATCCCAGCTCTTTAGAGGATAGTAGTTTGAGGTCAGGAGCTCGAGGCTGCAGTGAGCTATGATCACACCACTACACTCTAGCCTGGGCCACAGAGCAAGACCCTGTCTCAAAAAAAAAAAAAAAAACAATTGAGATGTGAGATATTGAATCCTGCTTGGTGGTATCTTCAAATGTTTGAAAGGCTTCCCATGAAGGGTAGCGCTGGGATGGAGAGAGCCATAAGAAGACATTCCCAGGTCAAATAGGGAGGGACTTTGTCAGCATTGTTCCAAAATTTAGTGAGCCTCCCTGGGAGACAACAATCCCCTGTGAAGAGTGCACGTGCAGGGTGAACAGACCACCCGGCACAGATGTCTGAGGAGACAACCTTAGAGTTTCCTTCCAACCCTGACATTCTGTGACTAGAGGTTGAACCCCAAACTCGTCTTACCTCTCCAACTTGCCTGTTGTCTCTTAAAGAACAAAGACTCCCGCTGTTTCTGCATAAATGACTGGCTCACATAATGCACCCTGAACTGTCTCTTTCTTTTAATTATTAATAGAGTTAATTCTTGTCCGATTCTTGTCCCAGTAAAATTAAAGATACTTTATAAAAATAGGTAAAAGATACTGTGATCTTTCTCTAA